TATATATTTACTGTCAAAAATCTTGTAAACTTTATATTTATTATACGTTTTAATCTTTGGTGGCCATCTAAACATTGTTGAATACAGTTTGACAAGTAATTTTTTTAAATATTTGCTGGTCATGTTAATAGAAGCAAACGTTATTCTTAAGGATCTTAAATATATTTCCAAACTCGACAATACAGGTTTCTGGATAATGAAAAAATACTTGAACAATTACGACATATGTAAAAAAAAGTAATTACGATACTTGTCAATGGATTAGTTGAGTGCATAAGAACAAGCTAAAATATAATTGATGCAGGAAGGTATTATAATACTTATCAAAAATGATACAGACTAATATTTCATGCAAAATCGTTCTGGTTCGCTTGTTAAATCAATCAACACATAATACCGTATCACTATATAAGAACACTCTATATAAAAACCACCTCTCTATAGGAACACAATTTTGAGAACCAATAATTAATATTATAATAAATATAACCTCTTTACAAGAACAATCTCTCTCTATAGGAACAAATTTTTATGGCCCGACTACGTTCTTTTAAAGGGGATGGCGGTACTAAAAAACTAATTGAAAAAGTTCTACGGTGTATAGATTCAGGCTACAGTCAACTCTGGTTACCTTTAGATACAGTAACATTGTCCGCCTGGAACGGAACTTCTCTATTATTTATATCTATATACGTATCCTGTATTAGATAAAATACGTACTTAATTTGAATACTGTATACGTTCCGCTACGTAATATATGCACATGTATGTAACATTGATCACGTTATTATAACCAGGTTGAATATATAAAGAATATACATGGATAATCGTTTTTTTTTATTAATTGATCTTATTATTATCGTTATTTAGAAATGAATTTACAAATAGCTAAAGGTAGTTTCGGTTTTTATAACAATCTAACGAAGATAATCGATCCGAAAAAATAGAGAAGTAGAATCTTTCCCCACTTGTACGGCTCCTGAAAATTTCTACCAATAATGTTATATAACCACAAATAAGTAATGTTTTTCAGGTCCGGTGTTATTTATGCCTGCTATTACATAATGCACATATACTTGCTATTTACTTAATTGCGAATATTTCCTTTTAAAGTTACTCTGGCTCCTAATATTTCAGGCGCAAAATATTTCTTGCATTGTTGTTATGCAAACATTCAGAGATCCAACAAGAAGCATAACGAAACATATATAAACTTGAATTTTTCTTCAAAAACTGGATTCTTATCATTTTGATACAATATCCTCAAGCTAAAACTTCTGTTTACATTACTAACAATACAGTTATTCTTTTAATAATAATAGTTTATAATAAATAATGAATCATCCACCACCACCACCACCACCATTACCACCACCACCACCACCACCATTACCATTACAACCTCCACCTCCACCTCCAGTACATTCAAACGCTCTGCAAAGCATTTTAAGCGGAACTGCCAATATTTTTGACAACCCATCGCCTATATTAAATTCAAATGATAATAACATGTTGATTGTACTCTTTGAATCATATAGATAATAGCGCTTTTTATTTATTGTTATTTGTATATTATGCACATGTTTGCACCTGTTCTTTAATATTTCATGTTCCTTTAAATTCTTTTAACCTGTTCTTTAATACATCATACGTTTTCATATACTTAAAGCGAGCACGTGTATCTTTACACTCATCTAAATCTTTTAAGCTTCTTTTTCATTTATCAATCAACTTATGTCTTAGTATTTTTATATAATGCGCATTCAAATTCTCATGTATAAATTGCATTTATATTTTCTTAGAATTCGCTGAAATCAATAATATTTATTATATTTCTGAATTTTTCTAACTCTTCACTTTTGAAAAATAGATTTACTATAGAATTATATTATTATTATCCACGAAAGATAATTTCTATATATTAATTCTAAAGATTATTCACTTTTGATTTAATATTTTGAATACAAAAACAAGTTAGCTCTATGTAATTTTATGTAACAACTTTTTGGTATTAATAACTTGATTTTACAAAAAACTTTATTGGTGTCTTTAAATAGTGTGCAGAAGTATTAATTATATAATAAAACTCAATTAGATTTCAAGTTTAAAGAAAGAAATACATCAATTAAGACTTCATTATATAAATATTGATAAGAATTATCTTATAGTGGAAGACACCATAAGCCATTAACTTTTTGGTATGTGATTAAACATTGTTATAACTGGCTAGAATAATAATAAAAGAAAAAACTCTGTGACAAATGATTAATCAGAAGCCAGGCTAATATTTGCCACAGATGGATTTTTAAATTTTTACTTATGATATGAGTTATAAATTTTGAATTTATGAAATTCGCCATCATTAGTTGCATGACTAATAGGATATCAAATTTTTTTTCGCTGTTCAAAAAAAAAGTTGATGGCTTATGGTGTTCCCCACTTTACAACATTTATTTCTAAGGGCATTACTTCTGTATACATATTTAAGACTAATAACTGATTTAGATGTGTATAGTTTTCTCATGTCTACATTTTCAAAATCTTTCACGCATCTATGGGGAGTCACAGATATTATATAATATAATTTTACTATAAAGTTCACCTCCTCTCTCTGATATGATATTTGCAATATATGATTTTATATAATAATAAGACACTCTCAGATCCTCCCCCAAAATATTACGTAATATCTACCACTCTCCTATTATCTTTAATTTTTGCTATTATTCTTCTAATTTTTTTGTACTAGAACTAATCAATGATTTCTCTTGTATAAGTAACATAAGCACTACCACTTCGTTTTTGGATTTTTGTGAATATCTACTAATTCAATTTACAATTGTTTTTAGAGTCTACATATCTTTCTGGTCAAGTCCTTCATTTCAATTAAGCAGAATTTCTGCAATATATCAATTACTGATATCGGCTTGTCCCTTTAAGAAAATTATGTTGGACATATATCTATAAAAAAGTACAGGAATATACAAAAAATTCTGGTATGACTATAAAAGATCACCTTTTACATGTGTTTTACACGTAATCGCGTATGTAAAAGGTTATAAAAGTCTGTTTGCTTTACATTTTCATATATTTACATATTCAATTACGTGTTTGTATGGGTTGTTAATCAGTCCTAAATCGGTTCCAACAATTTTAAAAATTACTATTTCTAGAAAAGTCGAGTAGATCATTATATTATATGTACAGTACCCCAAAAAGTAATACCCGGTTTAAAATTATATAGTAAAATACATATAAAAATTTTTTGTTGATTTTCTAATTAAGACAGTTCTTTCATCTTAAAAGTGACATACTTCTTGTTCATTTTTTCAAAAATACAATTGATTAGCTTTAGTATGATATAATTTTAGAAAAAATTATTAATAGAAATATAGATATATATATATATAACTTGAAATTTTCAATTTTCATATATAAAGTGTGAGAAAAAAATTTTTTTACTTTCCAATCAAAACAGTCCTTGAATTTTAAGTTATCATAAGTCTTGTATTATTTTTTGTTTATTATATAATTTTAGACCGGGCGTTACTTTTTGGGGGGTATGTACGTATATACCACATACAGTATGAAAATGTCTAAAGCATAATTTCTTATGATGCACATTATTGTTTAAAGAAATTTTGCACCTATATTTGTAAATTTGTTATGTAATAACAATGATGATCTGATTTTCTCTTCTTATCGGCATGCTCCTAGCAAATTATATAATACGTCCCTGTAAAATTTCTCGGACGTTTTCATTCCGGGATTGAAATAAGGTAATTTCCCAATGGAAGTATTCTGGATGCAGAGCCAGCTAAAACACGGATCATTTCAGATCTCCAGAAACTTTCAGGATTTAATGTGAAATCTCCCTTCAAACAGGGAAATTTCTTCGTTTAGAGATTCTCGGAATAAAAAAGATTGAAATTTTTTCATGTATATGCACAATGCAATGTAATAAGCACATGTAGTATTGTTGTAATAGTGTGGAGCACAGCAGCAGAAGACACTTAGAACTTTTCAAAGTACCATTTCTAAACCAAAAATATATATTTTTATATATTTTAGAAAACTCTTTGGGAATTTATATGTTCGCAATATCTCTTCAAGTCTTTATCAATATATGTATTGTGTCAAAAAATAAGAATCTCACATTTACTTGAAGGCGATTAAATGAAAAGAGTAAACATGAAACCACTTTGCATCTTTTCCAAATTGAACTATATATGTATTTTTGGTTAATCCTTCAAATAAACAACGACAAAACTGTGAAGTAAATCATTCTCGGCTACCATGTATGTATTCATAGACCAAGTCCCTGGAATCACTGTAAAAAATTATTTTTTTATCAGAATCTTTGCCAATTTGTTACTAATTGCCCGGCCAATTCATAAAGAAAGATGAGTATGATTTAGTTTTATAATAAGTCTACTACGTTGAATATTGTTTGCTTAGCAATGAAAATAAAATATTTTTCTTGAAAGTTTATCAAATTAATTTAATTTAGAACGTTTTTATACTTACAAATTGTGTATAGCAATATACTAAAAATTATTCACGACTTTCTTCGTATTGTAACCATAACAAAAATCATAGTATCTTTTTTACAAAAACAAACAGATGGACAGAAAATTCATTAGAAACCATTGATTTCATTGTCATTGCCACAGTCACAATTGTGCCAAATACTCCGAAACTGGGGAGCGTCACATAATTTGTGGACTATACATCTTTTTCTTGAATAGAAACATAGAATCTAAGCAAAATAATATTAACATGAAAATTAAAAAGCAAGAACAATAATCTCTTGACTAAAATACCAAACAAGGAATAAGAAAAAATGTATTCATTACTGTGCATAAATATACATGATGTATATTTTGAAATATCGATCTTTTAAGATTCATTGGTCATGTTTAAAAAAACTTTCCCTCGAACAAAAAAAAGATGGACTACTAACAATTTTTTCTTTGATTCTTGAGACGCTTCCCCTTAAGTTACAAAAAATCTGATAACAATCTTTTAGATGACGTTTTTTGTAGTTGTACTTGATGTTCAGTGCTTGGAAGTTTTTGTAGCACTCCAGGTGCACACGGTAAAGTTGGTGTTAGAAAAACTAATTTAGTATCACGTAGCAATCAGGAATCCAAAGCAATAGTTATTGCCACATGTCTTATCTAATAAAGTTCGAGACATGTACAAATGTAAATTTGATTTAAATTTTCTAAAATGCCTACCAGTCGCGTCCAAAAGAATTTGTCTAATTTATTATTTTCTCATTATATTACAAGTTTATAAATTTAAAATGACTCTTGAAAAGCTGGAAATTTTGAAAACAAATATAATGTACTAACAAAATCATATCACAATTTCCCAACAAAACAAAATCAGCTATGTCGTAAATTCAGAATTGACTCAAATTAGAATAGGGATATGGTAAGAATTAGAGTAAGGGATATTCTGTCCTCATCATACTATAGTCAAATAATCGCTACTCTCGATTTCTTCATCACCCATCTGGCCATCAACATCGCCAACACACATTTTGTGCTCCATAAACCTTCAGCACACTTGTGCGTAATATACAATCGAAGACGCTACAAATAGGAGGATAGGGCAATCGGTCTTTATCCAGTACAAATATTATGGCGGCGTTGAGTGTTCCAATGTGGTGGTGAAGTTTCTTGTGTTGCTGTTACTTCGATTTCTCATATTTATGTTATTACCATTAGTTCTAATACTACTATGTCTATTATTGTTATTGTATCGATTTGCTGTAATAATACTATTATTTCACCTAGCATCAGTTTGAGGACGTGGTGACGAAGACGGAGATTGCGTAGTTTTATTTATAATAATAGTAAAATTAATATGATTAACGCGATGCAAACTCTTCAGAACCGGCGTAAATGCATGAAAAAATCACATCATTCCAACCAACATGCAATCCAACGCTTGTAGAATATACACGAGGAAATCCGGCCGTTCGTTCTTACAGGAAAGTAAATAGACTGTGTATATTAATCACAGCAAATACAGATAGAAACGTGAGTTTAAAAAGAAGATTGTAACGCTTGCCTTGAGTTTCTCGTGAAAACGTCGATTGGTCATTAGTAAGAATGTGGAAATGAGACATATAACCGTCCGAACATAATCTCAAAGCTTAGCTAGTAGTATTTTTGGAAGCTGGTAATATTGAGTGGGGGTTGGGAGGAGATTGGGACGGAGTTTCGTGTAGAAAGTATTATTATTGTCGTGCTGACTAGCAAACTGTCTTGGCATTGATTCATTGAATCTAATTATATATTCAACAATAAAAAGTTACTAACCAAAGAAATAAATCAAATAACACACGTTTAAATTTATTATCTTTTTTTCTAATTTATTGTGGGAGGGGGATCATAATGAAAAACAGATTTGGTGAAAATTTTGGCCAAAATTGTGCAGATCATGGGATCATTTGGCCAGAATTATCGACAATTTCTTATAATAAAAGAGCGATATTTTGAAAATAATGGTATATACATAAAATATATAACTTAAATTAATTTTGCAATAATGTTTATATTTCTAAATACATGTACTATATAACGATAAATTTATTAGTATAATTGTTATTTATATTATAATAGATATTGCAAATTTTCATCATGATCGCCCACATTTATTATCGTTATTATTTGGCATCGATTATTTAATCTTCGTGCCAAATTAGTATAACAAATACGTACATGTACATGTATGAAAAATATAAAAGGAAAAGTTGTCTCTGTTTACGTACATTTGGTCATACAACAAAAAAAATCCACGTACAGAAAATTGTCGAATGTATATTGTAAATAATAAAGAAAAGTTTTACATATTAAATACTAACAACGCTATAATAAATTACTTGTGTGCTTTCCTTGGATAATGAATATATCATGTAACTGAACTACAATAATATTAATTGTTCACACTCGATTGTTATTATTAAAACTGCTTGAAAACAACAATAAGTTGTAACAACACCACAGTCTGGAAGTAGGGCTTAATTCGGGTAGGGTGAATGTGAAATTCTTAACTTTGGAACACAAAATAAAAAAGTTCCGCGTAATAATCATCAATAAAAGCGAAAACGAAACAATGTAAAAAAAGAATCGGAAAAAGAAGGCACTTTAATATATGCATGGATGTATTTTTGCGAAGCAAACAACTTTTAACTTTTTATTCATTTTTTTATTATTACATCTCCTAATTTTCTCAATATATTCGAGTTTTCGCACGTTTGTCTTGTGATTAATAAGCATGTGAGACTTCAGTTAGAGGAATAATAGAACACCTTTAATCTCTTCAAAGCCGGTTTGGCCATACCGTCTATGTGCAAAATTATCGTTTAACAAGTATGCAGGCACATACGTATGGGTGTGTGTTAATGGTGATGAAACTCTTATAGATGTCTGCAGTTTGCTTTGCTTCGATTCTTCACTCGGTCTCTTGTTTTCTTTGTGATTAATTCGATTGGTATTATTGCTGCACTTTTTGCTAATATTCTTTATTATAAAATTGTTCTGATGTACAATTACTATTATCTATGAATCGACAGATTCTTCGAAAAAACTTTTTTATACATGTTAGGAAATTTTTGTTGCATTTTTTGTATTTCGTTATATACGTAATTCTACATGCATTTTTTTAACCATATTTGGGTCTAATGAATTACTAAATGAAGTTAGAAAGTAAGGAGTAACGGTAATAACTTGTCTAATTGGGTAATGATCATCTTATAACGATAAATTTTGTATATCGGTTAATTCAGAGTAATTGACCTCTCGTAAAAAGGGATAAAAAGAGAGAAGTAAAAAGTGGTATTTTACTAAATGTTTACACTTAATATCTTTTAGTATATATGATATTTTTTTGCGAAAACATATAAAGAGTTTCCTCGTTAAATTTTCAAATTGAAATTTCTGTAAGCATTTTATTATAAATAATGAATCAACAACAGCAAAACCATCACCATAACTTGCAACAAAATCAACAACCTCCTCCTCTGGTTCATTATAATATAGTGCAAAGCATTATAAGCGGAACTGCCGATATTTTTAATAGCCAGTCAACTACATTAAATCAAACTGACAACAATAGTTCGATTGTACTTTTTGAAGCGTATTCGTAATAGAATTTTATTTAGTATTACTCTGCTCACATTTGGTCCTTTCTTTAATACATTTCATATTCTTTTTTTCTTAAAGTGTGTATGTATATCTTTATACGCATAATGTTACGCATTTCGTTTATATCTTTTACACGCATAAATGCTACGTTTTTCGTTTAAGTACAGTCAACAAATTATAGAAATTTTATTTCGCTCATCTAAATATTTTAAACATCTTTTTTTTAATTACAATCGTCTTTAATTTTTTTATATAATACACACTGCTCATTTATTTCAAACTCTCGTGTATCATATTTATCGTTTTTTAGCATATTACTACATTACCTGCCATAATGCACGCATAAATTCAAACAAAATGATATTAGATGCTAAGGTTACCATTCTAAATTTCGTAATTCCATAATTTTTTTGATATTACAAATTATGGTGTATAATAATTTCATTCAATGATATTCATATTATGTAATTGATCTTTTATTTGACATTACACAACCAAATTTAATATAAAATTCGTGAATATCATTTTCTTTTTGATCAGTAATTAAAATAATCATCAACGAATTACGTACATTCTTGTATACTTTACTTTTTATTTTCACTTTTCTCCCCACCCTTTATTTTCTTTTGTATTTTTCAATTCAAATTAATCTTTTTTGCTATTGGTACATCTTATATTTTATCCCCAACAAGAACATTCTTAATTTGAATTATACTATATTTATCTAATCATATTCATATTAATTTTATTTTTCATTTTCATTTTTATCTTTATTCTCATTATTATTATTATTTATATTTTTAATATTTTATTTCCTTATGATTATCTCATGTTATTCAATTTTTTTAGAATCTTTCTTTTTACTGCAATCTTATAATTTTTCTTATCTTTAATCACTAATATTCATATTAATTTTCTCTTGTATTTTCTTTTCTATCAACATGTGTAATGTTTTATTTCTTTGTTCTCCTTTTTTATATTATTTAGTATTATTGTAAATAGTGGTATGATTTAGAATAATTATTAATCATGTAAACCACAAAAACTATTGAAAATGTATAAAAGAAGAGTCTCTCATTGCTAGAAACTCTCATGCTCTGATCTAATAAAAATAACAAATCCTTACTTTTAATATTATGCTTGAATACACTATTATTTTTGTGATTATCTTTAAATTTTGACTACAAGTAATGGATGCTCCTCCACTCTAAATAAGCTGTTGACTTTAGTATTTTCATTTATTTTAGTTTTATTTTTTTTTAGGCCATGTCAATAAGTTCGGTTTATTTTATTTTTATATTAATATAGTTATTTTACTTTATTTTCTTTATTGGCAGTCTCAATAAGTCCAATTATTATTTTATTTCATTAGGCAGTCTCATTAAGTCCTGTTATTTTCTTTTATAATTATTTTATTTTTAGTTCAGTTTATTATATTCTTTTATTTAATTTTCCTATTTGCCCCTATTTTTACCTTTGATTTTAAGATAGTTTGCGTACAAGCTACCACAGGAGACCTTTTGAACCTTTAGTGAATTCCATTAATCATAAATCATTCAGTCTTTGTTCTTTCACTGTTATGTTACATTGTTAATTCATTAATTCTAACAATTCTTGAATTAGCAAGAACACTAACAACACTATTAGTTGCATTCAGTTCGAAAATATCCAGCTTGAAACATCTTAATATAAAAACATTAGAGTGATAATATCTAGAGCTGAGCCAAATCAAGTTTGAAATTGGCTCTAATTTGACTCGATTTTAAAAGTCAAAAAGGATCGAGACATATTTCTAACTCTGTCTTGTATTGGCTTGACACGCATGAGTTTAGAGTCAAATTTCAAAAAACATTGCAATAACATTATTAATCTTTTTCCTCATTATACAATTATTCAGTTTCACTAATAGTACAAGTTTATCATCACTTTCAGTATGGTGCATAACATCTAAAGTCATCAAACGTTTGTATTTTACAAAATGTATAAACTTCTTTACAAAGAAGTAAA